ACCTGCCACCGTCCTCAGCACATATATTCCAGGCGCGCTGGCCACTGCACACACCTCTCCTCCCCCCGCCTCTTACCAGCGTCGACAAGGAATGGAGGTCCTTGGGCAGCTCGGGTGTGGCCTCGTCCACCAGCAGAGGGGCGGCGACATCCCCAGAGTCAGACACAGGCGTGAGGGGTCTCATCTTCCACAGGTCGCCTGCCCGGGGCCTCTGACCCCAGGAGCTCATGCACACAAGAGCCTCGACAGCTTCGATGTCATTCAGCTCCAAGAGGCTGCACGCAGACCGCTCGCTGTCATGCCGCTTCCTCTCCAGGATGGACTCGCAGATGTCCATGATGTCGACCTAAAGGCGGGCGACACGATGGCTTCTCAGCCCCGGGAAACACAGAGACAGGCGTGCGGACACGTGCACAGGAGCCGGCACTCACACGTCACACACGCACGGCACTCCACACACGCACTCCACCCCACACACGCACTCCACCCCACACACGCACCGCACTCCGCACACGCAACACACTCCACACATACACGACACTCCACACACGCACTGCACTCCACACATGCAGGACACTGCACACAGCGCTCTCCGCTCTAGGGAGAGATGTCAACAGGACGCTCAGAAAATTCTGCTTTCACGCCAACATTCTGATGACTGGGCGTGGCTGGCAAGCCCTTTCCACAGAAAACCCTGACTCTTAGAAAGGTTCTTGATATAAAGTTCATGCTCTTTGGTCACTGATTAATTAGACGTTAATTCCAGAGGCGGGAGCCAAAGGGGCTAGTCACAGCGGGAGGAGGGGCACCGACTCCATCCAGCTCTCTGGTGGGCTGAGACCAGGGCCGGCTCTTCTGAGCTGGCAAAGCCATGGGGAGCGCTCCCTGCGGGTGCGTTTTGGGCAACGTTCAGAGCCTTCCCCCCGGCCCTGTCGAGCAGAACTTGGGGGGCCCATGAGTGTAAAGCCTGTTCCAGGTCTGGGGGACATAAGTCATACCTTCATGCCTCAAAGCTAGTGGGGGGGAGGATGAGAGGAAGCATCTGTAAGGTCCCCCGCAAACAGGAGGCTGTCTTCCCAGGGTAGCACCCACTCTTTTCAGCTGCAAGTAACTTCCAGGCGTCAAACCTCCGGTCCCGCTCAGGTTCCCCCCTCCGGTCCCGCTCATGTTCCCCCCTCCGGTCCCGCTCAGATCCCCCCTCCGGTCCCGCTCAGGTTCCCCCTCCGGTCCCGCTCAGGTCCCCCCTCCGGTCCCGCTCAGGTTCCCTCTCCGGTCCCGCTCATGTTCCCGCAGGCACACCGAAAGGAGGCAGCTCTCCCGGGGCCTCGGACAATCTGGAGTCACAGACGTGACTCCGTGCGGGGAGGAAGCAGAAGGCGCAGAGCCCCCAGTCTCTCCGACCCTCGCGGTCCACGCGTGGCGACGACCCGGTGCCAGGACCAGCCAGCGACCTCCCGCAGCCCTCGGGGCGCGACGGCAGGAGCCCCAGGGGCGGCGAAAGGCGCTCCGCACGCCCCGCTCCCCAGGCACCGCCCCGCCCGCAGCGCGGTTTCCCACAGCCCCGCCTAGGCCCGCACTGTCGCCTGCGTGGCGCGTTTCCGCCATCCTCTCCCGCACAATGGTTCAACGCTTCACGGCTGGTGACGTCACTGCTTGAAACAGCTCCGCGCCCCCAGCCCGGGCGGTGCCGCTGCGGGGGCGAGAGACAAAGCTGCGGAGGGTGCCGCGGGGCACACGCCCCCGCCCAGCCCCAGGCGGCCGCCGCCCCACCCGGCGCTGCAACGCGTCCGGGCTCCCCAAGGTGCGGCCAGCGCGAGGCCCCGCGCGCCCCGCCCTCCCTCGCGTCCTGGCCC